TGAAACATTAGAAACAGATGGTCATTTATTAATTATTCGAAATAGTTCTATTGGTACATTGCATTTACCAAGAAGTGATGAAGATGAACAAGATAATTCAAATGTAATCATAATAAGTTTAAAAAAAAAATTCTTTTTACTTTTTTTTCTTGTATTTTAATACATTTTTTTTAGAATATTGAAGCTATTAATTCTGTTAGTGCACCACAAATAACTTTTAAACATCGTTATGTATTACCTGTAATGCCATTAACAGTACCCAAACAATATAAATTACTTAATTATCAAACAATTGATTCATCATATATTCGATATGATTATACAACATATAAACTTGCTAGATCATTACGTATTGGAGCTGAAGATGAATTAATTAAATTAGATGAAACATCAATTGATCGAACATTAATAAGTTCTATACAAACATCTGAAAAACCGATGATAATTAATCCAACAATTCCATCATCTCTTCTTAAAGCACCTATTTATCATCCTCTTACTGTTTTTGTAAGTTTTTATATTGTATAAAATTTTATTTCTTTTTTTCTTTTTTTCATTAAGAATCCAACACCAGGAGTAATGACATATGAAACTCCACTGCCATATTCAGCTATTGATGTAGATAATGCTATTTGTCCTATACCATTACTTGAACGACCTGGATATTCATTAACAAATCGATATCTTGATCGAGAAGTGAGATTTAATAATATAAATGAATAAATATAATTGTTATATAATGTTTTTTTCTTTTTTACAAATAAAAAAACAAAAGGATATTATTCAAGGAACAATGATATGGAAAAATATGAGTAGTACAGGTCTTTCTGCTCTTGCTCAAGTACCTACTATGTCAAATGTTTGGCTTCCAAGATGGTTAGTTAAAGACTTTTTTCTTCATATAATATTCACTGAAAAATATTTTTTTTAACGATAAGAGAAAAAAGCAAATAGTCTTAATATAAGAATTATTAATCACTTAATACGATTAGATTTTTGTTCTGCTTTCTCTCAATAGGATTAGAAAAATTCTAATTATGTAATAATCTTTTTAAATATTTGATTTTATTAGGAATGATCCATTTTCTGAAGATATTTTACCAACAAATTTACCATTACTTCTCAATGAAATGCCTCCATCTGATCGTAGTCAACTTTTAGATAAGTATGTAGATGAATTAAATGATTTCTTTGACTTTCTTTTTTTTTATTTTAAATAGTGAAATGAATGAAGAAACAAAACTTATTCTTACACCAGAAATGATTCGTGCTGAATTTCTTGAAACACATTTTGAAACAACATTAAATGCAAAACAAGAGTAAGTTTTACAGGAAAACAATAGTTTTTTTTTAAATAAATATACTCCGTGAAATAGTGCTATGTTTAAGAGAAAAAAAACGGCGGTATCTTCATTAAAGTAGGTTTAACACGTGTGATTTTTTTCATTAAAACACTTATTTGAAACAAAGTCAATTAGAATTATTTATATAAAATAATTGAAAATGTTTCTACATATATATATATATATAGTTTTTTTTTTTTGTTTTTTTTATTTTGAAATATTTTATTAAAATGAATGTTTGTTTGTTTATTTAGTGTATTTCCTTATGGTGATAAATTACTGGAACCGAACGCATTACTTTCAATATATGGTCGAGAATCTCGGTAAGTTAATTTTTTTTTATTAATAGAATATATATTTCATGATGTGTTTGATAATTATAGAGCACGGCGGGAACAAGAACTTGATTATTTTCAACGAAAAAAATTTGGTCAACTGAGTGACAAAGTGAATAAACGTATGGAAAAATATCATGCTACATCACGGATTGATCTATCATTATTATCTGATCAACAACAGCAAACACAGCCACAACCACAACAACAACAAACGATATTAATCGAGCCATCTCAATAGATAATAGACAAAACGATTTTCTATTCTATATAAAGCAGTGATAATTGTTTTTCCTTTATTATTATTATTTTTTTTCTGTATGAATTTCTTTTTTTTTTGGGTTTTTCCCAACAAAGCCGATGATCGAATGTCATTCTGTCTTCGCAATTAATTGGACAAATAGAATGATTGACTTGCTTGTCTGGCTGTATAGGCAATGATCTCGATGATGATGGGAATGTGCACGGAAATTCTACTGCTGCTCTCTCTTCCGTTATTACAATTGTGGGAAAGAAAAAAAAAAGATCTCGTGATGATGATGAAGATGAACTACATTCTTTTTTTTTTTTTACAATGTCTTTCTGTTGTTGTTTACGCTAGTTGTATAGACGACGACGAGAACAGAAGAAAAAAACCGAGAGAAAAGAAAATAAGAGTTCATTCCTATCTCGATAAAATAGCCTTGAATTCTTTGCCTTGTTCCTTGCTTTCGGTGTATGTCGACGCAAAAAAAACAACGACGATGACAATGACTAGTCGTTGTATTTTCACCACCGAATATATATATATATATATGAGAGGAAAAAAAAATCGAGGACTGCGAAAAAAATAGTAGAAAGAGAGAGAGCAAGTAATCGCATCGTCGGATAAATAAAACTGCTCACTCACATACGCTACACTATCGTCAAGAATAACATCACATAGAACTAGTGAAATAAGAACGAGAAAGAGAAAAAAAAACCAAGAGAAAACAAGTAGCGAACGAGAGACCGAGGTGACAATGATCATGTTCATTCATTTACATCGCCAATAGATGTGAATAATAAAAAAAACAACACGTAGCCATATACAAAAAATATCTTCTTTTTTCCAAGACATAATATGACTAGTAATGAAAATATGACAACTGCAAATACATCTGCTGATATTAAATGTATTATTGTACAACAAGCATTTACTGGAAAACGTGAACTTAAAGTTACAACAATACCAAAACCACCACCACCTGGTGATGGTGAAGTATTAATTGCTGTCAAAGCATGGTAATCAATAGAATTCTTATATTAAACAAAATTAAAAATGCTTAAATATGTGTTGTTTTTTGCCTTTTAGTGGAATTAATTTTAATGATGTACTTGTGCGTTACGCACTATTAGAAGATACTCCACGACCTCCATTTATTCCTGGCTTTGAATGTAGTGGTGAAATACTTGATATTGGAACAAATGTAACACATGTCGATGTAAGATTAAAAGATTTATAAATTGTTTTTGTTTTTGGTTTTTTTTTTATTTGGTATCATTGAATTTTATTTTATTATAGCGAGGTGATCGTGTTCTTGTAATAACACGTTTTACAGCTTGGGCTGAACAAATAGTTGTAAAAAAAGATTTCGTATTTAAAATTCCAAAAGAAATGTCATTTCGTGAAGCAGCTGTACTTCCAATAGCTTATCTTACTGCTTATATATTATTATTTGAAATTGGAAATATAAGATCAGGTCAAACATTATTATTTCATTCAGCTGGTGGTGGTGTTGGGGGTAAGTTTTTTTATTTATTTTTATTATTTAATTTATACATATTTAAAAAAACAAAACGAAAAAAAAAAAGCTTTTTTTTTATAGTTGCATTAACACAACTATCAAAACTCGTGCCTAATTTAACAATTTTGGCAACAGCTAGTCCACATAAATTTGATGTACTTCGAGCTCATATACATTATTTATTTGAACATGATATTGATTATACAGAAGATATTAAAAAGTAAATAAAATAAGAAATTTTTATTTATTTATGAATTTATATATATGTCTGTTTTAGAATATCACCTGAAGGTGTTGATCTTATTCTTGATTGTATGGCAGGTGATGATTGTGAACGTGGTCTTGGATTACTTAAATTTAATGGAAAATATGTTATGTATGGAACATCAAGTGTACTCACTTGGGACGTTAAAAATTTATTTGGTATTACTAAAGGAATGACTAATGTATGGATTTTATAATATTTTTTTGTTTTTTTTAATAGAATTCTTTTTTTTCTTGATCATTTAGTGGTGGCAAAATGATAAAGTAAGTTGTTTACGTTTATTTCAAGATAGCAAATCTATTCATGGTTTCAATTTAATTCAATTACTCCAACGTGGTTCAAATGAAACACGTCGTTATTTATGTGACATAATGCATAAAGTATTTATACTTTATAAAGAAGGAAAAATAAAACCAGTTGTTGATAGTGTATTTACATTCGAAGACGTATATTTTTTTTCATATACATATATATACATATATAATTGTTTTTATTATACAGATAAATAATGCTCTTGGCAAACTAATTGATCGTAAAAATATTGGTAAAGTAGTAATCGAACCATTTGTCAATGCAAAAGCAGAGAAAGTGAAAAAAGTAAAAAAAGAACTAAAATAAAAATGAATTTCTCAAATAAATATTTTCTCTTGTTTAGGTTAAAGTAGGTAGCACATCTGGACATCAAGATTCAAGCTCAACATCTGGCCCTGATGATGATGATGATGATAAGGATCCTGAAGATTTGCGTCAAAGTTCATCATCTAATCAATAATCATTTTTGCCTCTTTATTTATTATTTTATTTATGATATAAATATTTTTATTTCCTATTAAACCTTTTTTTTCTTGTTTTCATCGTTGTTTGAAATGACCCTACTCGTTCTAGTCATATCTTCTCATTTACTTCTCTTTTTTTTCTCTCGTTCAATGTCATTCCATCTTGAATACTGCATTTCTGTAACAAAAAAACGAAAAACTAATAAAAAAAAAAAACAACGTATTCTAAATGATTGCATTTGTGTGAAATCAAAACACTATCTTAATTCATATTTGTTGCATTAGGAAAACAGGAAAAAAAACAGAAAAGGATTTTTACTTTTTTAATAATGATGAAACAACAAGACGAAAAAGTTTATACACAAATAGAGAGTGAAATAACGCATAAGAACAAAACGAAAAAACGTTATCATGTGCATGACAAAAAGAAAAGAAAGAAAAGCTATAAGAAGAAAAGCACTCCCTATATGTGTGTCTATATTTAATTGTTATATAATTATTTGTATGTTGTTATTTTAAGAAGCAATTTGAGTATTGTCTTTTTTATCATCGTCCGGTTTGTTAAATACATCAGGCAATGGTGGTGGCGTACTCCTAAAAAAACAAAATCAAATTGATTAAAGAAAAAGCGTATTTCTATTAGCCGAGATTTCTTTTTTTTTAAGGATAAGTGTTAATATTAGATCTCACTATCAGTTATTCGTTCTAGAGAAGTGAATTGAGGATTTTAGAAAAAGCTGATGGCTTGAAAGAAAGATGAAGGGTATTTTTGAACTAAAACACTTCGTTTTTTTTCTCGACGAAAATTTAAGATAAAATTTTTATTGATATTCTGTTAAATATAAAAGATTTTTTTCTTTTATATTATGTGAAATTTGTTTTGTTTGAAGATTGGTTGAAATGAAAATTAATCAATAACTGTCGCATAGTACAGCGACAATTGACATTAATAAATAAATCATTTCTCATTAAATATTTTTATAATCAAATACTAGAAATTCATCAATTATATTATTCATATCCTTATTATCATTCAAGCTCTGTAGTATAAATAACGGTTTTTATGTTCATTTTCTAACGATTTCAATCATGAAAATTCAAAAAAATAAAAGCTTACAATTCAGCAACGTCAATTGGTTCCCATTCATTTTCATTACCAGTCTTACGGTAACATAAATAAAGAAGAGTAGGAGAATAGGCCTTAGCTACAGCTCCTGATAATCCACAATCAGCAAGTGTTTGATTATCATCATCCATTGGTTGTTTTGTTGAATCAACTATTAAACGTATATTATTTGATGGTACTTTTGTTATACCTTCAATCATTTTTTTTAATTCAAGAACTGTTGATGATTCTTTAGCATCAATAAAGAGTGTAAGTTTTTGTCGACGAATCATCATAAATACATCCATTATGAAGATGATAATTAGAATAAGTAATATCTAAAAAAAATGAATGTTGATACTAATTATATGTGTATAAATGTTTTATTAGGATTTAGAAGATCTTAATTTTATTTTTGTTATGATATAAACAAAGAAAAACTTGTCAATTTCTTAGATGAAAATAAGATATTAGTTTGTACGTACTTAGACTGAAAGAAAAAGATCATTAAGTTTTCGTTCAATTACTCAATCCAATCGTATCAAGCTATGTTTCCTCTAAGCAACAGCGTCCATTTAGTGCAAAAAAAAATAATGTAAAAGAACATACAGATGTCATTACTAGTTGATGTTGAATCGTATGAATTTTATTTGCTTTATAATTCGAACATTTTTATATTCGTGAAAAACAAAAAAAGAGAGCAAAAAAAAAATTACAATTTCTCATCAAATAGCATGCTTATTTCGAAACTATTAACATCTATATCAAATCGATTGAAAAATAAAAAAAGTCAACATAATCAAATACGTATTAGTTATTAGTATGACGCATCCGTGAAGAATATTTCGTTTTCTTATTAATAAGAATATGCACGTTAGCGTCTCATATGAGTAAATAAAATATTAATGTATTCTTTTTAGACGAATCCAAAAATTTTTGTGTAATAATCAGCGAAAGAAAAAAGAAAAGAATACAATATTAGTAGTTAAGGTAGGAGGTAACACATCAATGTATTCAGATCACATTGCTTTATCGTTATCATTAATACGTATATGTATCTATGTCGCTTTTCTATTTTCAATAGATTCTTTTTATTTTGTTTACCTTTTTTTTTGTTTATTTTTATATAACTAACGCATCAAGATATAATGCCTAAGTATAATTTCATGATATCAAAAGCGGTTGATCTGGTCGCTCGAAAATTAGCTGGTTTTGATACGGATACAATAGCTCGCTTAACACAAGTTTTAAGTGAAGAAGCACAAATGATTTCTGAAGAACTTCAACATTCAGGTCAAATTGTTGATTCGGATATTTTAGCAGCAAAATTAGAAGGACTTGTAGCACGAATGAAATATGAAATTCGTAACCAGGTATTCTATATATATATATATAAATAGAGTGACTCTCAAAATTATTCTCCATTTTTTTCCATTGCTGTAAATGCTACCAAGAATCCAAAAATAATGATTTCTGTAGAGAATTTTATTTTTAATACGAATTTTTAAAGATGAAAATAATTGCTAGTTTTTCAAGGATTCTGAAAAACTAAGTTTTTTAGTTTTTAGAATTCTATTTTAATTGTATAAAATGATAGAACAAATAACTCTCTACAACAAAAAATGTCTTCCAGCTCGCTATGACGCGTCATTTTGACCAAGATAGATTAGCTTTAAAGAAGGTACAAAAGTTGGTTTTTTCTGCTATTTCGTATGAAAACATAATTTTTGTGCCTTCTATATGGTTGATGTATTGAGGGCAAAAGATTCCGTAGAGAGCTGAAAGATATTTTATTTTGGAAAATTCAGACAGAATTCCAAGAACTAAAAAACTTCGGTTTTGGTTGTTCAAAGATCTGTATTTTTGGAAAACTAGCAATCATTCTCATCTTCGAAAACTCATGTTAGAAATAAAATTCTCTTCACAGATCACTATTTGAATTTTTATTAGTCTTTACAACCGTGGAAAAAACTTGAAAATAAACCTCGTCAAATAATTTTGGAAGTCACTGAATAAAAATATTTCATATATTCTTATATATTGAATTTTTATTCAAAAAAAGAAGGGCCCTGATCCATCACCACATGAATTTCCTATTTTTAATGTTTCTCACAATCCAAGTGCACCTTATCCTAATCCAATCAATCATCTGTATGACAAACGTTACAAAGAAGCTTATTCAACTTTTATTAAACAAAAGCAACCTCCACCTCCACCTCCACCGCCTCCTGAACCTTCAACACCAACATCACCTATTGCACCATTTCCATCAAAACCAACAAGAAATCCCGAAAATCCTTCACATGGTAATTATCCACAAGGTCAATATCAACAACAATCAAATAAACAAACACAACAATCGGGTAATGTTTTTCCTACTTCTCATCAACCTCCACATATAGGTTGGTCTTATATGAATCCATATGCAACAATGCCTCGTTCACATGCTGCTTATTATCAACAACAAGTTTCGAAGCCAATGCAAACCGTAAAAGAACATTCATCTACTAATAATATTCCAAAAATACGTCGTTCATCAACAGGTGAAGATTTACATTCACATGGATTATCTCGTTCAGCAAGTAATGATTCATTAAATTATTTAGCAGATAGTGGTACAGAAAAAATTCGAGTTCGTGTTATTAATGATAAATCTGCTTCATCATCTACAGATCCAAACATAAATAAATATCCTAATAATCAGTTTAATACAAAAAAATCAATATTAAAATCAAGCAGTGATGAAGATGATGATAATAATAAACAAATGGTAACAACACGAAGAATATATACGACACCAGATACAGAAATAGATAGAGAAACAATACATGATTTAGTCAAAGTTGTTGATAAACAGCAATCAAGTTCAAGACAATCAACATCATCACCAATGAAAGAACGTATAATTATTATTGATCGACGTGGTCGAAATACACCAGATAATGATTTAAACTCATCTGGAAATGATCGAATTCGTACATTTGAAGTTCGTACATCAACCACTGAAGTACCACCTTCAATACCATCACCGGCACCGCCTATTACTAGTGCAACTCCAGTTCCAACGTCTACTGTATCTTCAAATGGATATGCTTTGCAACAGCCCAATTATTATACAGGCCAACAATTATTTTATCAACAACCGAAGATGTATATGTCCGCACCAACCAATCTATATCCTACCGGAACACCTTATGTTGCAGGTGTTAATACCTATTATCCATATGCATATTTTCGATATTAAAAATAAAATAAAAATTTTTAATCATTTTTTGAAATGATTCATAAAAAGAGAATATTGTTTAAAAGAAAGTCATAATTTTAGAATGCGTAATCAATTACAATTTGAAATGAGTCAATGAATGTTTCATCAATTGAAGTGTAACATTCAGAGATAAAAATATTTGAAGGAAAAGAAAATAATCAAAAACTCTACACTATTGAAATTATTTTCACATCGATACGATATTTATATAATTTGGACAACTATCTCTCAACATAAAAATGCAATCTATCGATTTTAGATTTATCACGAATACTCGATATCTATTAAATCATTGTTTTAATTAATTCATACGCTACGTGAGCTTAGTTTTTTCAATCCAACCAAACCTTCCTTGCATATTGGAAGATCACAGACCTTCTACTATGGTCTATCGAACTTTTAGTTATATTTGCTAGAGAAAACAGAAATTTCCTATGAAGCGCTCTGGTTTGTTTTTTGAAAGAGAGGGAGAGGTACAGTGTGCATTCAGTTTTCATCAATTTAAATAGTAGTAAATATATTTCCAGACATGTTCTATCTGTTGATATAAAAGCTTTGTTACGTATGCCAAGTAGAATGGAAAGTCTGCCAATCAAAACTAAGCTTGAAAACACCTGTCATAAAAAAATGAAGTTTTTGCATAAGATTCAGTCAACGCATAAGCAAAAGTAGCGTCTATTCGAAGCTGGCTTAGTATCCTCTATCGACTCGTAAACAAAAACCTATAAATTTGAGCTTATGTTTAAGAAAAAGTAGCAATGTCTCTGTAGTGATTTTTCAAAAGGCTGAGCTTAGTAAAATGAGCATGTCATCCCTAGCCATGATCTAGATTCACTCAAATTTTGTCAAAGTATTCGTCTATCTAAGCTCTATCAATAACAGTTACCACAAACGTTCCTGGACTTAGGAATGATTTTTTCAAGAAATCATCGTTCTCCAGATAGGTCCCATTTTTACCGTCTAGAAAAGTTTTCATTGTACAACAATGGTATATTCAGAATTAATGCGCGAAACCATATCGAATGATGTATGATGCAAAATATTTTCTCATCAAAAAAATTTACTTGAAAAAAATGCGAGCAGTGATTGCTCTCAGATGTTTTTCAACAAAAAATTGTTTGTTTTCCTAAAGTGAATTTTTTTTTTGTAATGATATGCAATCACTTCTGAACAAAAGAAAACCATTTCCGCGAACGAAAGTTACATGTACGTCTGTAATGCGAAAAATGTACACTGTGATGAGAGTTAAAATAAAGAAAGTTTGTCACAAATTTCAGAAAAAATTAATCATTATGCCATGCCATAGCGTGATTACGATAGAGTAAAAATTAGTGATACTTACTCATCAATCAACTTTAGAGAAAGGAGAATCGGACTCCCATTTTTTTTGCATTTTGTAGTATAGGCTAAAAATAGTCATTACATCATGAGGATACTAAAAATAATACACACATGAAAATCAAGTATGATTTTAACGCTTCCAGCAAACATTTGAATACGCGTGAATTGTCATCAAGTACGCAAAGTAATATATGACTCTTGTCTTTTGAATACGTGAAAATTCTATTTTGACTCATTCATGACTCCTAAACACAGTTTATCGATTAAAAATTAACCTTCAAACATATATTAAAAAATGTTGATCGAATGCAATGATTCATAATTTTTGCATTACTAATGCACATATCACCTATGCAACTAATAATATCAAACTCTTTGAAAACAAAAATCAAAGATTATACACTTTAAAGTATCATATTTATGGATTATGTGACTAAAATATTCAACAAAGATTGTCGAACTTATTATCACTGGTTTATAATTCAGAAAAAAAGAATCATCATCCATGCTTTCTATAAATAAATTTCTAAAGAGCAATCAAAGCTTCATGTAATCGATAACATTTTTTTCTTCTTCTGTGTACATTAGATTCCCTTTAACTGCTTTCTATGATATTGAAGAATGAAACTTTAGACGAACTATCTTATCTTTCGACTCTTCAAGTACTAAACTCAGATGTCGCTAATATTCGAATAAAATGAAAGGCTAATTTTTTCTTTGGTTTTAAGTTTTTACCATAAAATGATCATGAAACATCCAGAATGTATATTACGGAAGAAGAAAAGAAAAGCGTTCTTCTTTCGATTATTATAAGATAATTTTCAATGTAGAATGTCATCTTCTATGTCAGTTTAGATTTACTTTTATTTCTTATACACAACAAGCAAAAAAAGCAAAATGAGCGGTAGTGAGAATCAAAGTGAAATCGGTAAATTACAACAACATCTTATTCTACTTCGTGAAGAATATGTTAAACTTCAACAACGTTATAAAACCTTAGAACGAAATTATA